ATAGTAGGTACAAAACATTTCTAAAGTTTAAATGTTGGCAATAAATGATACATATTCCTAGCAAGAGTAACTATGATATAAATATCTACTTATACTCACGCCCTCTAAATGATTGTCTTGTATTATTATCATTGATTGATATAGTTTCTGTTTTTGCATAAATATTAATTACACACCTTTATCAATAGCTATGATTACATTAAAAAAGTATTATATTCATGCCCTTAATATGAGGCTTTTAAACTATCGTTTTCTTTATGAATAAATAATAACAATAATAATAAATAATTTAGTCATGAGATTTATGTTTTCTCAATTGGCACTTTACAGATTTTATTTATATTCTTACATGTACATGGTCATGGTCTGTCATCAATCAAACATTTTATCCGTTTCTTTCTATGACACTCATCTTCTTCATTATTTACCTGCAATCTTCCACGTTTTTGGTGAACCTGTTGGAAACATGGTCAGCCTATTTAACAACAGATGATAGAGCCATGAAAAAGAGATAAAACCATCTGACATAAAATAAAAATATGTGAGGTAATTTTAGTGATGTCATGTTTGCAACCACCTTCAAAATTGCATCAATCCGAATGGTCTTTAACAGGGTGCAGGGGGGGCATATCAAGCTTCCAAAAAGAGAAATGAGCTTCGAGTAGGTGGGCTGCTCAACAAATTGTATCTTCTTCACTGCTTCAAGGAATTGTGCAAAAGGAGGGGGACAGCCACCACACAGCGTCTCGGGGGAGGTTACAGTCTTGTTCATGAAGACTAGAAACCTCTTGTCATTCCCCTACATAGTTGGCATAAGAATCAGCAAGTGATCAATCAAAGAGATGGGAGAACATGTACAAGTAGAGGTGAAAGCAAACCTGATAGCCTTCCCACGGCAGCCTTCCTTTAATCAAAAAAATCAGAGTGTAGGCCAATGACTCAAGATCATCTCTTCTACTCGCTGTGAGGCCTAAATGTGCATGGACGCTTGCATATCGTGTTGTGCCCCTAGGGAACATGAGATAGATAGTAAGGTAGGGGTAAGATTTTATGAATCCTCCTCTTAGCTAAGAATTTAGGGAAAAAATAGAATATCGTTTCCCAAAAAACCTGAAATTATCTGGCTGTTGGCATAAGCTGACATGCTGGCCTGACAAACTGTCCCTCCACATTGAAGCTGATTAAAATATTAATGACACCAATTAGCATTTGTACAGGCTCTGAACAAAGCACAAAAATATCACTGATGTTGATACAGACAGGGACTTCTCAGTCAAGACGAATTTGTTTATATACTTGGAAAAACAAACCCTACTCTAAAATCAATAGGTGCGAAAGGTGAAAACAAGAAGTGATTGGAATGCAGCAACATACCCAGCCCAAAGTCGATGAGAAAAAGCTTCTTCTCCCCTGAGCTTCCGGGTTTACCCAACAATAAATTCTCTGGCTTGACGTCTCCATGCACAAACCTGGCATGTTTTTTTTTTTGTGTGGGTGGAGGGAGGGAGGGGAGTGCACAAGGGAGCAATGAATTGATTACTGTGACCTTTGCAAAAATTTAATTGAAAAAATATCACACTGCCACAAAGCCATACGTACCCTTTTTGGTGTAGCTTCTCAAGGATGGATATTGCCTCCACAGCAATACAAGCCACCATATTTGGTGGCATTCTGTCCAAGGAGTTAGTCAAACTCAATAGCACAATTCTCAACAGAATATTGACTTTGAATATGAAGTCAAGATTATTTTCTTACACTTGCCCAATGGATATGAACACATCCAGGAGACTTGGTCCAAGGATGTCCATGATCTGCAGCAATCATCATCAACAATATCATAATTAGCTTTCAATAAAAAACATAATTCGAGGAAACAATAAAATGAAAGACTCTACGCCAACCATGACGAAATAATCTCCTTGGCGGCCCTTGTAGTGCACCCTAGGCAATCCATAGCATCCCTTGAGATGGCTAAAACCATATTCACAAAGTCAGATGAAGAACGTAGTTTTAGATCGACACAATACGTAATAAATTAGAGCAGTAGGGGGTGTCTTCTTACTCATAAACTTGCCATTCATATGGGGGGCCAAATCTGCAACCCGTGCTATTTCTATGCTCAAACTTCAGTGCTACCTACACCCACCGCAGGAAAATGAAAGAGACAACATAAAACAGCAGTATTTAAAGATTCCCTTGGCAGGAGTGATGGGAGGTTGAAACTAAACCTTAAAGGCATTGGGCCCATCGCCCTGAGATCCACCAGCCACCCTTCGTCCAATGTAGACCAGCCCAAAACCTCCTGCACCCAACATTCTCTCTACCTTGTATAATGGAGAATTTCCGACCTGCACCTGTCGATTTTGGATAGGACATTCCTATTGTCAAGATGTGATGTGCTTTGGGATGGAGAGAGAAAGCTCTCTACAGTCGCCGTCAAGGAAAGGAATGAGGGACGTCGAAGCATGTACCCGATCCGGGATGGGAGACATCCTCGCTTCCTCCTGTAGCCCGACAACCTCGTCCACACTTCCTCCCTCGATTCCAGCTGCTTTCTCAACAGGACAGCCCGCCACCAAGTTCTGATGGTTTTTCTGGGTGGGGAATAACGCTCGGGAGAGCTGCAGGTACGGAGGGTGTTGTTTCCTGCCGGAAATCACCGGGTTCTTCTCCAGAAACTGGTCGATCGCTCAGCGATCCGAAAATCGAATGTGCCCCTTGATTCAACACGCTCACCCGTCACCGTCAATCGATAAACCTTGCTGAAATAATCTTTTCTCCTCCAGACGGTAACACTCATCCGTCCCCAAAGAGCAATCGGATGGAAGTCTAAAGAAGAAGATAGATCCCCCTACCCAGACCAAACATCAAATCGAATCAGCAACGAAGCGGCAAAACAAATCGGAAGAAGGTAAATAAATAAGAGGAAGGAGGAAAGCCAGAGCTTTCTTCAGCAATCTCGCACCACCCGCACCACCGCAGGCAACCGAAAGTCCAAATCAAAGAAAATAAAGATCCCATCCAAAGAGTCCACAAGAAGATGCCCCCGACACAGAAAATCACGAACCCATCGAAAGACGGCACTAGAACATAACCCCCGAATCAACGAAAGGCGAGAATTCGTCGAAAGACGGCACTAGAACATACCCGGAGCGGCCTTTCAGGGAAGCAGAAGCCTGGGAACGTACGACCTCTCCGTGAGGCGGCGCCGACCGTGACCTCGGCGTCTTCGGCGGTGGACTCCTCCGCCGGATGCGGCCTCCCACTCTTCCTCCGGATTCGCGCACGAGAAAGGGTTCCAGAAGAACTCGACGGAGAGGAGAGGAGAAGGCGGCAGGCTGTCCGAACTCCGCCGTGCTTCGTAGAGCGAGGACGCATCCACAGAAAGAAAGCGAGAGCAAGATAGAGTGAGAGAGAGCAGACAGACAAAGGGAGCGAGAAAAGGCGCGAAAGAAAGAGAGATCAATGACAGCCTTACTCTATCACCCGCTCTTCTTTCACGTTCTGCCATTAGGTACGGATCTCCAATTACATTTCTCTTTGAGGTCTGACGTAAATTGTGCCAATTTCTGTTCACGATGTCCGTTGAAATGTCGTCGAACCCGTGTGGGCCACGTGTCCCACATCTGCTTAAGTGTCATGCCAACTCGTCGGTTCTGCTTCCACTGTCGACCTGTTGATGGTTTAACTTTTAGCCTCTGAATATTCCGGCCCATTGGGTCACTTGGCTCGGCCCAGCCCAACTCATTCTGATTTTCTTTTATTTTAGACCTTTATATCAAAACCTCTTAGAAATTATGAGAAATTCTAGAAAATATCAAAAAATTCAGGATAAAATTTAGAAAATCCTAAAACTCACATAAAAATATTTCATGCATAATTATTTAAAATTAATTATCTTAAAATAATTTTAAAAATATTAAAATACATGTTTATGTATGAATGATCTGAATGCATACGAATTAAATGTAACATGTATTATTTCTGTTAATTTTATGCACTGAATATTGATAAATATAAGGTAAATACAGATAATGAAGACTTATCAACCACAACATAATAACTAGACTAAGATGATCTAGTTCAATCGTTTTCATCCACAATATACTATCATTAGCCATTTATTGTCGCACCACATACCCATGAATACAACCTAAAACTCCTTCATACTTCAAAGAATAATGATCATGGTAAAGAATTCACCTATCTTTTTTTCATGAGATCCACACCCCTAATCTAGAGAAGGTAAACTTTTCTAATTGACTTACCCTTTTAAAGGAGCATTAGGCTTTGTTCGTTTAATCATACGTGTTTGTGCAAATAATCAATGCAGCAAAAGTTTTAAAATATTCAGAACATTTTTGAATTTTTTTGTTCTCCCCCCTACTTGAATGATGCATTATCTCTAATGCATGCAAAAGTCTTTAATGCATGTGAGAGAAGGGAAAAGGGAAGAAAATTCTGGTTTTTATGCCCCATCTACTACACTATTGCCCTTGAATGGTTCTCTAACTAAAGCACTCGACCAATAAAATATGTCCTAAACAAAAGCTAGTAAGGAAATGATAGTTCTCCTCATGATAAAATATGTGCATACACACAAATAGATCAAGTCCTCAAATATTTGCTAGAGACCAACCAATCACCTCTCTCTATGTCCTAAGTACATCAAGTAATCTATTCTCTTTTTTTTTTTTTTTTTAAGAAAGAATGCATCTCCTGATGCTTCTGGATTTGGAATGCAAAGGTGGAAACAGAGCAGAAGGTTGCCTACCAGGATTCTTCAGATGAGAGAATTAGAGTGAGTCGATCCCTCTGGAAGCGAGACGAGGAAGAAAGGATCGTGCATGAAAATGGCAACAACACAAGAACAGAGAAGATAACTCAAGTGAAACGAAGACAGAACAGGGAAAACCACGAGCGCTGTTCCATCCCATTCAAAAAAAAAAGGGTGTTCTTTCTAGATGTGATCTCTACCACATCTGCAGAATGCAGGACGTCTACCTGACAGTGACGATGTCATCGATCTTCAGGATCATTCTGACGCACTCTGTCGCCAAAGTGACGGCACTGGTGCTGACAAGAAGAGGCTGAACGACGTTCTCCTCCAAGATGTTTGTGATCTGCCCCTTCCTGACGTTGATTCCGGCGTTGATCTCCCCCTGGGCGTGCCTGTTCCTCAGCTCCGTCACGATGACCACGGGATTCAGGCCTGCGTTTTCAGCCAAGGTGTATGGGATGACCTCGAGGGATTCTGCAAATTCCTTGACACAGTAGCTTTCCATCCCCCTGAGTTCCTTCGACCAAGCCCCGAGCTGCCTTGACAGCTCGATCTCTGGCGCACCGCCGCCCGCAATTAAGAACTTCTTGTTGACCAGACATCTGACCACACAAAGCGCGTCGTGGAGGCTCCTCTCTGCCTCGTCAATCATCAGCTGGTTGGATCCCCTCACAAGTACGGTTGTGGTCTTTCCCATTTCCTTAATGCCCGTAATTTTCACGATCTTCCCATCCCCAACAGACACCTCCTCCACGCAGTCGGCAAATCCAAGCTTTTCCTCCCGGAAATGCTCGACATTGGCAATTGGCAAGCAGTTCAAGGTCTTAGTGACGAACTCGATATCGTCCCGTTCCACGTCCTTGATCACTAGGATCTTCGCCTTGGCGAGGTAATGTAGCGACAGATCAGTCACAGCATCCCTCAAAATGCTCTTCTGAATTAGTAGAACATTGCAGCCCGTAGCCTTGATCTTCTTGATGATCCCAAGGATGTAGTTGCGTTCCTCCTTGAGAATCCTGTCCATTTGAGTGTAGTCTGAGACAACAATACTTTGCTCGATATCGGTCTTGGGCGGCGAGATCTGAAACTGGATCACCGCGATTTTAGCGTTCTCAACCCTACCAGGCCCTCCGGCCGAGTGACTTACTTTCTTGTCGAAGACGAGGCCCTTGACAAGCTCTGTATCATCGACAGTGCCTCCTAGCTTCTTCACGATTTTAATATCCCGGAGGTCGACGAGATCAGGACGTGCAGGATCCACCACAGAGAGCACGGAGTCGACGGCGAGCGGCGCGAGCAGAGATGAGTACTGGCTCACAACCTTGCTATTGAGGGAAGTGGCTGCGGACTTGACAAGCGACTCGCGATCCGAGAGCTCGAGGGGCACGGACATGGACTGTAAGATGTCGACGGCCTTGGCGCAGCTCTTATGGATGGCGTCGGAAATGGTAGTCGGGTGGATCCCGCGAGAGAGAAGAGACTGGCAAGCGGCCAGGAAGGCCCCGGCAAGCACGACGACGGTGGTGGTCCCATCCCCAGCGGCGGCGTCCTGGGAGCGGGAGAGCTCCACGAGCATCTTCGCGGCGGGCTGGAGAACCTCCATCTTGTTGAGTATGGTGGCGCCGTCGTTGGTGATGATGACCTCACCGCTGGCGGAGGCGATCATCTTGTCCATCCCCTTGATCCTCTATTCTCTTGATCCTTAGACAAATACGATGATATAATCATTGGATAAGTTTGATGTTAATCAAAAAATATATACTTTAATGAAGATATTGATAAGTTTTCATTATCATGAGTTAATAATTAATTAATAATATAGTTTTAATCTAAACTCTTGATAAATAGACTTATATTTATGTCAAATTATAAAAAATAGTTTTTAATTGATTAATTTGGCTAATTATGAAAGCTTATGTGAATTTATATAATTTTAATAATCTTATTTTTGAGATAAATAAAGAGAAATAAAATTAAAAGATAGAAGAAAGAGAAAACTTGCCACCTAGTCAAGCCCACAAACAGGTTGGAAGTATAGATACGTGGAACCATGAGTAAGGGCTTGAGCGGCTAAAGACTAACTGATAGGGGGACACATGTGCGTCACTTCCCTTCCACATCATCAATGGCTAGTCGGGCATGTGACAAAGAGTGGCCGTACACATGTGAGAAAGGGATACATTGATTATTGACGTGACTTAGTTGTTGTATTGTAAATCACGCAAATTTAAAATTTATAAAACTAGAAAATATGAATTTTTGGATATTTAGAAATATTTCTGAATAAATATATCAATTATAATTCAATAAAACTTTCAAAAATAGCAGTAATTTTCTAGGTCGATTAGAGGGATGTAATATAATATCTAGTAATTTTTTAGAATTGTCCTCAAAGAATATTATTTTCTATGAATTTGATACTAGTAAATGAAAAATAAATATATTTAAAATTCACAAAAAAAAGAAATAAGGGTTCGGATATTAGGATGATGTCAGCACCTCGCGAATGCAAATCTGGCAGAAATAGAGTTCTGCCCAATGATTCTTACGTAAATGATTATAGACGATTTAATTGATTAAATTAAGATTTGGAAAATCTAAAAGAATTATAATGAAATGAAGTATATCTTAGTAAATTTAAAATCAACAAGTTATCACTAAATGAAACAAAAATTAAGTTGAAAGTAGGAAAATAGAGTTCCAACATCGCAGCGGTGATGCGTCGGTGATGTACCAGAATCCTGAGCGCCTACAACCTTGAAGGCTCTCCTTGGACAAAGACAACATAGGCAATCTCTAGATCTCTTTGCGAAGTCTAGAGATCAATGAAATGGGTCATCAAATCATCTCCGGTGGCTGTCACCTAATGGAGAGGAGCTGGATGGAGGTGGGGCGCGTGTCAAGAAGCTTCATCCTCAGGTCTGCATCACAAGAGGAGGCTCTACATCGCATCTGGTATGCTCTCAAAAAGTGGGGACTCATCTCCTAGCGGATCGTCTTCTTCTCGACGACAGCTTGTTTGTCGATCAATCGGAGATTAGTTACTCGATGGATTTGCAATTCTTTTATCACAAATCATTCAATAATTTTAGTAACAATACTCTGTGAATTGCATTTGATGAGATTTTTGTCGATGATCTAGCGATTCTAGTTGCTTAATCCTTCACCGATGGTTTACAGGAAAGTCACAATAATCAGATAAACAAAATATGAATTTTCACTTTCGAACCTATGCCAATTGCCCCCATGCCCTTTCTGAGAGGTGTGACGCAGGTTAAAGAAGTCTCACATCGGTTGTGCGCCGAAATTTCTGATGAATATATAGTAATACTACATTTTTGATGAAGTATTTTTCTTGCATGTGTACGACCACTCCTTGCCCCACAACCGGCTGGCCACTAGTGACGTGGAAGGGGGGTGGTGCACACGTGCCCAATCGGTCCAAGCCACTTGAGCCTCTGCTCGCGGCTACTCCCCAACTGCACTTCTGACCCGCTTGCAGGCTTGGCTGGCCGGTGGGTTCCCCATTTGTCTTATTTTTATTTTAATTTCTTTTCTTCATTTATCTCAAAAGTAAGACTATAAAAATTATATAAAATCATATAAAATCACATAATTACCTAAAAATTCACATTAATTAATTGAAAACTACTTTTCACACTTTAACACAAATATAAGTTATTTATCATGAGTTAAGGTGAAAACTATATTATTTACTAATTATTAACTCATAATAATGAAGACTTATCACACCTCCAACTTAAATCATTGCTAGTCTCTTTGCAATAGAATTACGAATTCTTTTTTTACAAATCTCAAACATCATATTTCAATACATAAAAATAAAAAAAAATACAATCAGAAATGATGCACCTTTAGACACTTTGGATTCTTATATCAAGTATTTAAGAATGATGTCAAGCACTTAAATATTTAAGCACTCCTTAGAATAACAATCTAGACTTCACTTCTTCTATTCACATCTCTATCATTTCTTCACTCATAGATATATTTACAAGATGTTTTAATTGTCAATACTCATCTAAGAATATATATTGATCTTACATTTAATTTTTTCCATGGCTTAATTTTTGAAGTTTACACTATATTTCTTCTTTTTCTTTTTTTTTTATATATATAGTGGATAAGTAGCTTTTCTCGTAGATAAATTTCGACACTAAGAATGATGTCTCACATCCTCCATGTGTACTATTCATTTTCAAGGCTTTCACTTTATCCACTTATTTTGTAGTAAGTATTTTTCTATGCACGATTTTCGACAATGAGAATGATGTATCACACCCTCCATGTGTACTCTTCATTTTTAGATTTTTCACATTGTTCTCTCTTTCTTCTTTTTTTCGAGATAAGTGATTTCTCCTCACAAGTCCTATAAATCGGGGTGTAAAAATCTCCATTAAACTCAAATGATCAATCAAATTTTCACATTAAGTAACTATTATCCATCAAGATCATGAAGTGAAAATCTGTAAAATCAAATCCTTGTTATCTATCATGTATCCAAGGAGTATTCTAACATTTCATGCTACTAGATTATTCTTTTGACTCAATAATAATCTTCCTAGTATCTTTTGGTATCAATCAATCTAATTGATTTAATTTTTCATACATACAATATGATGTAAGAAATTTGTAAATTAGATAGTTTTGACAGTTCTGTTTTCTATTTTTAGTTCTATTGTTAGCAACAATAAATTTGTCAAAAAGAAATCAAAACTATCATCTTTATAGTTGTAATTTTGAATTTCAGTAATATACATCTAGGGGATTGAAATGTGAGAAAAAGGTCTCTACAATGTCAAATTTTGGGCTATTTTTTGTCTGCTATTTTTGAGTTTGTTGTTCTTGACAGAAAACTAGAAAATAGATATTGTAGTTTATCAAATTTTATTTTATTTTTATTTTTTCAGTTGCTATTCTAATACAAACACATTTTTAATTGTCCTATAGCATAAATTAATAATGAATACTTCACCCCCCAACTTAAAAATTACATTGTCAATGACACAGAAAAATCGAAACAGAATATGCAGAAAATATAATTTTCAAGTGAAGCATGCATATGTGCAAAGTTAAGCATTAAAATTTTTCATAAATGATAAGGCTCAGAAAGACATCACCTAAACCTCGTTTTTGATTTTCTACTTCATCTTACACTCCTCCTCTTGCACTTTTTCGAAAAAACAAATACAGAAACAAGTACTACAAAATTCTAAGAAAATAGAGCTTCGAAAAAAAGTCAAACATAATGAAATAAAAACGATGGGTTGCCTCCCATGTAGTGCTGAATTTAGTGTCTTCAACTAGACAACTCTTAGATCATATAAGATGATCTATGACCATCAAAATATATTTGTATCCCAAGGTAAGTTTCATGATATTCTTTTTCAGATTTAGCATAAATTCATATACTTCATATATATACCTTGACATACTTTCAGCCAAAACAAAATAGAAATTAACAAAATTTTCCCAAAAATAATATTTCCATTTTGAAAAGAATCTTTCCTCATTTCTATCTTTTTTTGTAAGACTCTCATTCATTAATAAATACTTTCTATTAATAGACCATAAAATGTGATCATGCCATAAAATGTGAAATATTTCAAGCTTAGAAATAATTCTAATGGGCTGTGGGTATTGAAGGATGGAAGGATTGTCTTCTTTAATCTCAGATCTAATGAATTTAGTAAAATTCAAATTTGCTCCTCCAAAATTATCTCTATATTCATATTCATTATTTTCGTTTCTCCTCATTAGTTGAATCAACTCTTTCTAGCTTTTCGTTTCTCAACTCATCAAATTCTTCATCTTCTCAAGAGCTATCTTTTAATTTTGGTATATGATATACATCATCATCCTCACTATCAACATCCATGGCTACAAAATTATGATTAGATTTATTAATTTCGTCTCCTACATCTCCCAAATCAACTGATTTTTCCTCACCTGAAATATGTTTTTCTTCATTTCTGTCCTTACTCCCTTCTACTAAAATTTGGATGATTTTCCATGATCAACTATTGTTTCTTCATTTAAGGGCTCTTTCTCCTCATCATCCTCACTATATTCCTTCATCAAGTATGAGCAATAAATGATTTTATTCAAATTTTCTACTACTATATTTTTGGCCTTAATATTCTTATTTACTTCTAATGGATCATCGATTTCTTCTAATAGTTGGAAATAAAGATCAGGTAAAATATTATCACTCAATGTATTCACTATCCTAACATTTTCATTTTGTGAGTTTTTTCCTAGATTTATGCTACTAGACTCTTCTTACTGAAATCCTATTGTTGGGTGGTTCTCTGAATTTTCTATGGGCTAACTAGGTAGCTGTCCCTCTTCTCTCTTATTCCCAAAAGCCTCTATAATTTATTTCTAGTGTAGCGTCATTTGATTCATAGTTTGTTGCATTATTTGGCTCATTTGCTATGTCATTTCTATAGCATCAGGTTGGATTTGAAAGGACCAAGTTTTTTGAAATCTATGTTCCTATTTTAGACGAAATTCAAAATTTGAATTGGATCTAAGTGCTTCTGGATTTTAAATATTATTTGTGTTTCTCCACCAAAAATTATTCTCCCAATTAGGATTATAAGAATTAAAAAAATATTTCTTATTTTTACTAAAATCGTGGGGTACCTACAGTTTTTCTTGCCTATGATGATATTGAAATTCGAAAGGATCATTTTCATCATACATAGGACATGTACTATTTGAATTAAATTGAGGGTTAAGAGGCTTTCTAATATTGTCAATAAGTAAATCAAGTTTTTTTAATCTTTGATTAATCTGATTAACCTCATTTGTAAATTTAGAATCATCATCATGATGTAATTCATAAATTCCTTTCTTCTTATCCCTGTCATATAATTCGAAAGAGGCTTGATCTCTAGAATTTTTACTTAAATTCTCATAAAAATTGTAAATCTCATCAGGGGTTTTCTCTATCAAAGCTCCTCCACATATAGAATCAACCATATTTCTATGTTGTTCTAATAATCCATCATAAAAAATTCTATTGAGTTGCCACTTAGGTATAATATGATGAGGACACTTTCTAAGTAAATCTTTAAATATTTCCTATGTCTCATGTAAACTTTCTCCTAATCTTTGAGGAAAACTCCATATATGTTTTCTCATATTTGAGTTTTTCCTAAGGCATAAAATTTTCAAAGAAAGATCTGCTCTATGTCTTTCTAGCTAGTTTTTTTTTTTTTTTAAAGAAAGAAAATTTGATTCAGTGATAAAAGTTTGACCTCATTTTGAGGTTACATAAGTGAGATCTCATTCGCACAAGGGGCAAGGATGACATGGAAAATTAAAGACCTTTTTTGAAGAGGGGATGTGATAATACTGGAGATAGACTCCAATGCGCTCATCATATTTGAAGAAGGTGGTTGATTTACATTGGGCTGAAGGAGCCTTTGAGTTCATGAAAGTTGGAAGATCTGCTCAACAATAGTAGGACGTGTAGACCTCTATGTTGTGCGTCATGCGGTGTTCCTGCAAGACAAGAGTTTGTTGTAGTAAGTAGTTCTAAGAAATAAATAAAATGGTATAAAGTAGTGAGAAAAGAGTAGTTAGGGCAGTGAGGAGGATAGAACTATGCTGGAGCATGACAATAAGCCCAAATATGAACTTGCCTTCCTAGTGTTGCATGCGTCTAATCTCTCTGGCCAAGATCTTGTTAGTACCATCAGTTGCCGTACTTCCTCGAAGTAGGTAAGAGACCTTTCACCCCATGAGGAATGACTTGGTCTCTTTTTCTAACTCTTTTCTTTTCTCTTATTCTCTCTCTCTTCTTTCTCTCTCCTTGAGAGACTCTTCTTTTACCCTCCACTAATGCCCATTATTTGGTGTACAAGAGTAATTCCCTTTGGAGTATTAGGTTAGTGATTAAGGGAAGGGAAGTAGGTTGCCTACTTTTTTTTTTTTTTTTTTTTTGGGGGGGGGCCTTTCCTTCACCCTCCACTAATTGTCTATGATGGGCTAGTGATTCCGGGAAAAGAAGTAGGCTGTCTCTTTTTTTCTTCTTTTTTTTTTTTTTTTTTTTCAAGAGAGAGAAAGGGAGGGAGAAAGAAATAGAGAATCGAGAGAGAGAGAGAGGAGAGAGGGTCAATCCTATGGAAATAGATCTTTACCTTCTCATGGGTTCAAGCTGGCTGATGGTACTAATGAGATCTTGAGAGAGATACTAGGTTGACGATTCACAACTAGTTTGGCAGGTTTGATGTGCTATAGACCTATAGTTCAAAAGTGGGCAAATGCCAACATGTGCTGATAGTTCTATGTCCTCACTACTTGAGGGTGATAGATAGTAGATGTGAGGTGATTATGAGGAGAGTAATGATTGGAAGTAATGTACCTGAGTGGATTACGATGTGCCTTGTTGTTTGTCTTGTACTGATAGGCAAAGTGCATTCCACATCGGTGGTATGGGATGAGCGTCATGATGATGTCATAGTTGTGGCTTGTGATAGACCTAAAAATAGAAACAAAGGAAACACGTACCTGTATCTCCATTGTAGTCTTTTCAGCTAGTTAATTCTCTATCTAATGTGAGTAGTCAATGACTAGCTCTGTCCCTAATGTATGAGGAAATAATTTCATTTTAATAATTTCTAGTGTAATTTGAAGGAGATTAACTAAATCACAGACCATATGAAATTTTTCTAAGTGCTGATGAGGTTCCTCTAAAGGCAATCCATGAAAATTAGGGAGCATTTGAAAAATTCCTAGATTTATTTTGAATTTAATAGTGAGTGCTAATGGGACTTTAATATTAGATGCTCTTTGAAATGAATTAGGGATATAATAATTTTTCATGGCCATAAGGTTGTTCTCAGTTTGACCTCTACTTCCATCAGGATCCATCAAAATTAATTTTTCTTTCAAATTTTTAGTTTTGAATGAAATAATAAAAGAATTTTCTAGCCTTAGATGCAAGGATCTTCTACCATGCATAAAAAATCAATAAAATTGAGAAAAAAAAAGTTTAGTAATTGTTACCCTCCTTCAATATGCTTTAATCCTTGCCTTGCTTCTCTTCGTTTCTTTTAAAAAAAAAAAAAATCAACAAAAAGAAAATAAAATAAGAGTTAACTTTTTTTATGTACTCTAAGAGAAAAATAGAAAAATATTAAATATTATGCAATATATCCTCGACAATGGTACCAAAATTTGATGCGACTTAATCATTGTACTATAAATCACGCAACTTTAAAATTTATAAAACTAAAAAATACAAATTTTCAGATATTTAGAAGTATTTCTAAATAAATATATCAATTATAATTCAAAAAAACTTCTAAAAATAGTAGTAATTTTCTAGGTCGATTAGAGGGGTGTAATATAATATCTAGTAATTATTCAAAATTGTCTTCAAAGAATACTATTTTCTATGAATTTTATACTTGTGAATAAAAAGGAAATATATTTAAAATTTATGAAAAAAAGAAATAAGGGTGCAACGTCAAATCACATCAACGCCTGGCGAATGGAAATCAGACAAAAATAGAGTTCTGCTCAACAATTCTTACGTAAGCGATTATAGATGATTTAATTGATCAAATTAAGATCTATAAAATCTAGAAGAATCGTAATAAAAGGAAGTATATCTTGGTAAATTTAAAATCAACAAATTATCACTAAATGAAATAAAAATTAAGTTGAAAGTAGGAAAACAAAGTTCCGGCGTCATGGCAGCAATGCATCAGAGATGCACCAGAATCTTGAGCGTTTAGGAGGATTGTCGTGTAGTGTCCATAGCCTTGAAGGCTCTCCTTGGATAAAGATGACGTGCTCAATCTCTAGATCTCTTTATAAAGTCTAGAGATCAATGAAATCAGTTGTCGAATTGAATCATCTCCAACAACTATCACCCAGTAAAGTAGAAAAATGGTGACTTTGCGGCTCTTCAACGGCTATCACCCGACAGAGAGGAGTTGGATGGAGGTGGGGCACATGTTAGGAAGCTTCATCCTTAAGTCTGCGCAACAAGAGGAGGCTCTTCATCGCATTTGGTATGCTCTTAAAAAGTGGCGACTCGTCTCCTGGCGGATTGTCCTCTTTCTGACAATGGCTTGTTCGTCGATCAATCAGAGATGAGTTGCTTGATAGATTTGCGATCCTTTTATTGCGAATCGTTCAGCAATTTTTGTAACAATGCTCCGCGAATTACGTTGACAAGATTTTTGTCGATGATCCAGCAATTCTGGTTGCTTAATCCTTCACTAGTGATCTACAAGAAAGTCGCGATAATTAGATAAACAAAATATGAATTTTGGTTTTGGGAAGATTTGAACTTGCACCGATTCTCCCCCCCCCTTGCCCTTTCTAAGGAGGTGTGATGCGAGTTAAAAAAAGTCTTACATCTATTGTGCACCAAAATTTCTAGTGAATATATAGTAATACTACATTTTCGATGAAGTCCCTTTCTCATGCGTGTACAACCACTCCTTGCCCCACAACTAGCTGGCCACCAATGATGAGGAAGGGGGGTGGCACACACATGCCCAATTAGTCCAAGCCACTTGAGCCCCTCCTCGTGGCTACTCCCCAACTGTGCTTTTGACCTGCTTGCAAGCTCGGCTGGCTAGTGGGTTCCCCCAATTTATCTTCTTTTTATTTTAATTTATTTTTCTTTATTTATCTCTAAAGTAAGAATGTAAAAATCATATAAAATCATATAAAATCAAATAAAATCACATAATTACCCAACAATCCACATTAATCAACTGAAAACTACTTTTCACACTTTAACACAAATATAAGTCTATTTATCATGAGTTAAGACTAAAACCATATTATTTACTAATTATTAACTCATGATAATGAAAACTTATCAATTATCAAGTCTAGTATTACTATACATCAATCTCAAAACTCGGCATATAATCAATGTGGGACTAAACCTGGGGTCATATAGCCTCTGAAAACTTTTAATAATTTTAATACCTAAAATATCCCTTATTTAGTAAACCATAGAAATTTTAAATTTATAAAACTAGAAAATACTAATTTTCAGATATTTAGAAGTATTTTTGAATAATTATATCAATTATAGTTTAATCAAAGTTCTAAAAATAGTGGAAATTTTCTAGGTCAATTATAAGGATATAATATAATATCAGGTAATATTTCAGAAATGTTCTCAAAGAATATGATTTTTTATGAATTTTAAACTAAAAAAAGAAAAGAAAATATATTTAAAATTTGTGAAAAAGGGAAATAAAGGTGTAGATGTCAAGATGATGTCAGCACCTAATGAATGTGACTGGGCAGAAATAGAGTTTTGCCTAGTGATTTTTACATAAATGATTATAGATGATTTAATTAGTCAAATTAAGATCTATAAAAGCTAGAAGAATCGTTACAAGAAGTATTTTGCAAGCCTTGTTGATCCTAATTTCACATGTGGAAGCCCCACAAAATCAGCTAAGCTGCTACTACGATTTTTATTTTATTTTTTCTAGTGTAATCTTTACCATGTTCTATCCTTTTATCTCAAATTTAATCATGATTAATGATTTGTAAAAGCGTCAACTAATTTGAAAACTTTTCGACCGACTACTAATCAAGAAAGAGAAGGATTCAATTTACTACTCATACTTAATAATAAGAATTCATAACATAAATCCGACAGAAGATCAAAGTAGATTTTCTCAATTTCAGAGTGTGGGTTATATGTACAATGAAAGATGATGAACTTCATCATTTAGTTATAAGCATTATAGCACTTGATGTAGTCTCATGTATTCACCCTCATGCATTTATTCTTCCCCCCCAAACAACCATTTGCATTGTCCTCAATGCATCTATATAAGAGAAAAAGGAGAAAGCATTAAATGTGCAAATCGATTTTCACTCTTCATCCTTCTGATTTTCTTTTGTATTAATCCGTGTCATGATATGCACTTCCTCTAGAAGAACGCTGGATCTATTCACTTAATAAAAACTCAAGAAAAACATCAAAGGATAGAGAAAAATAATAAAAAAGAAAGCTATGCCATCTTAGAGTACATCATGGAGGGGAAGTTCTAAGAAGATTGAGGCTCAATGGATGGATCATATAATTTGAGTGGAAATGGGTAAAGAAGGAGGGTTCGTTTCTAAATAAGGTTTTAATCTTTGCCCATTCACATTAAAATTTTCACCAGTTTTCAATTCTGTAATTAATACTGCACTATAGTCAAAAACATTAATCACAAGGTATGGTCCATCTCATCTAGATTTTAATTTCTTGAGGAATAGTTTCAATCGAGAATTGTAAAACCAATCTTTTTGATGCTCATGAAAGCTCTTTCGGCTCTCCTTCATGTTATAAAAAGCCTTCATTTTTGCTTTGTAAATCAGAGATTTCTCGTACATCTCATTGGGTAGTTCTTGAAGCTCTTGCAATTGCAACATTATGGTGCTTACCTATGGGGTCTAAAGAAAGATTAAGATTCTTTATAACCTAATAAGCCTTATGTTTGATCTCTATAGGAAGGTGAAAAACTTTTTGACGTGACTTAGTCGTTGTATTGTAAATCACATAAATTTAAAAATTATAAAACTAGAAAATACTAATTTTTAGATATTTAAAAGTATTTCTGAACAAATATATCAATTATAATTCAATCAAATTTACAAAAATAGTGGTAATTTTCCAAGTCGATCACAAAGATGTAATATAATACTGGGTAACTTTTAGTATTTTTCTCAAAGAATATATTTTTTTATGAATTTTACATTGAGAAATAAAAATAAAATATACTTCAATTCGTGAAAAAAGAAAATAAGGGTGTCGATGTTAAGATGACGTCAGTGCCCGACGAATGCGAATTAAATAGAAATAAAGTTCTACCTAGTGATTCTTGTGTAAGCAATTACAAATGATCTAATTGATCAAATTAAGATCTGTAAAAAGTGAAAGAATCGTAATTGAATCAAATATAGCTTGGTAAATTTAAATTATACAAATTATTACTAAATGAAGTAGAAATTAAGTTGAAAATAGAAAAATAAAGTTCCAACATCACGGCGGCAATGTGTCGATGATGCATGAGAATTCTAGGTATTGGAGAAGATTGTCATGTAGTCCATGGCTTCAAAGGCTCTCCTTGGACAAGGACAATGTGGGCAATCTCTAGATATCCATGCAAAGTCTAGAAATCAATGAAATGGGTCATCAAATTGTCTCCGGCAGCTGTCACTTAGCAGAGCTAAAAAATGACGACTTTGTGACTCTTTAGCGGCTGTCACCTGACAGAGAGAAGCTAGATGGAGGTGGGACGTATGTTAAGGAACTTCATCCTTAAGTCTGTGCAGCAAGAGAAGGCTCTTCATTGTATCTAGTATGCTTTCAAGAGGTGGTGACTCATCTCACGACAGATTGTCTTCTTCTTGACAATGGCTTGTTCATCTATCAATCAAAGATGATTTACTCAATGAATTCGTGATCCTTTTATCGCAAATCATTTTCAGCAATTTTAGTAACAATACTTTGCAAATTATGTTGACAAGTTTTTTACCAATGATCTAACAATTTTAGTGGCTTAATCCTTCACTGGTGGTCTATAGGAAAGTCGAGATAATCCTTCATTGGGCTCTAGGAGGATTCAAACCCATACATATTGCCCGCCTGCATGAGAGAGATTAAAATAAGTACTCTAATGCCCTTATCAAGTGACATCGTCATAGTATATCTCTATTATAATTAAGAAGTAATTTAAGTATTAAAATCTTCAAAGCTTTTCAAGGGAAGGTGTGATGTGGGTTTCGTCTCACATCACTTGTGTGCCAAAGTTTTAGGCAAATATATAGTAATATCACATTTACAAGTAATAAGTACTTTTCTCTCACATGTACAACCACTCCTTGCCTCAAACTTGGCTGGCCACCGGTGACGTGGAAGGGGAGTGGTGCACACATGTCTCCATTGGTCCTAGTCACCCAAGCCCTTGCTCGCGGTCCCCCCAACTATGCTTCTGACCTACTTGCAAGCTCAGTTGGCTGACGGGTCTCCATTTTTTGCTATATTTTTATTTTAATTTCTTTTTCTTGATTTGTCTCAAAAAATAGGATTATAAAAATCATATAAATACATAAAAAAACTTATCTAATTAGCTAAAAAATCACATTAATCAATTGAAAATTATTTTTCATAATTTAATAGAAATATAAGTCTATTTATCATGAGTTAAGGTTAAAAATATATTATTTACTAATTAATAAGTCATGATAATGAAAACTTATCAGTGGTTTCCTATTATGACAAAAAAAGACATTATATTAAAAAATAATAAAGGTAAAAATATTGTACTTGAAAATATTATCAATTTACTTGAAAATATTGTACGTGTATTCTTAAAAAGGCAAAAATCTCATTTTATATGTGTAAAACTATATACAAATTTATATACAATATAGATTTGGCTCAAAAACATTTAATAGGGGTCGCATATAGAATTATGTAACTCTTAGTTACAATTTTACATTAGACTACAGTCAAAATAGATAATAATTTTTTTCAATAAATAGTTTCCATGATTAATTCATCATCCTCATAAATGTGATGGTCGGCACACTTGTTAATACATTAACTTTCCTACTTATACTAAAAGTCCTACTTTAGACAAGAAATTTATTTTCCACTCATCAATGGAATGAATCAAGATTTGACGATGGGTACATTTTGCTTCAAGTTTAGGAAAACATCTAGAGGGTGCAATGTATAAAAAGTATATACGATGACATTCACCCATGTGAATCATATAAGATTTAACTTTGTCAAGATATGCTTTTCAAATTGAAAACATTACAAAGCATAGCTATGTGACTTTTATTTCAAACTCCTCTTTATCTACCCGATCTTCTATGAATCTAGATGCTTCTTAATTTTTAGATCATCACTAAAGAAATCATACTTTTACTATGATGGGAACCAATTACGACATTACATTACTTTTAGTTTTGGACTACATGTGGTTCTAAACACATTATGGGGTGGATGTGTGTCCTTTGGTGGACACATAAGCTTCCAATACATAATTCTTATTTCTTCATAACTTTACATATTCTAATAAATAATATTTAATCATAGTGATTAGTAATTATAAATATAACCTAAACTATCAAATTCGTGCCATTTAATCCAATACTTGTAGTGTTCATTTATTTACTGATAAAATTTTCATTTTGGTAAACTATAGTAATTATTCATTGCAACTAATCATTATGATTGTATGAAATAATATTAGATTTCTTCCCTTTAATACTGTATTTTTATGTGCCAGCTTTCTTATAAAAAAGTAATATTCATTATTTATGCATAAAATTTACATTTATCGGTCTAATAATTATTTCTGATAATTTGTAAGTGTGAATGTACTTAAACATATTATATTCCTGTACTCAATAGGTTACGTCCAAAGTGGTGCCATTTCTAAGGTGAATAGATAGTAGGTACAAAACATTTCTAAAGTTTAAATGTTGGCAATAAATGATACATATTCCTAGCAAGAGTAACTATGATATAAATATCTACTTATACTCACGCCCTCTAAATGATTGTCTTGTATTATTATCATTGATTGATATAGTTTCTGTTTTTGCATAAATATTAATTACACACCTTTATCAATAGCTATGATTACATTAAAAAAGTATTATATTCATGCCCTTAATATGAGGCTTTTAAACTATCGTTTTCTTTATGAATAAATAATAACAATAATAATAAATAATTTAGTCATGAGATTTATGTTTTCTCAATTGGCACTTTACAGATTTTATTTATATTCTTACATGTACATGGTCATGGTCTGTCATCAATCAAACATTTTATCCGTTTCTTTCTATGACACTCATCTTCTTCATTATTTACCTGCAATCTTCCACGTTTTTGGTGAACCTGTTGGAAACATGGTCAGCCTATTTAACAACAGATGATAGAGCCATGAAAAAGAGATAAAACCATCTGACATAAAATAAAAATATGTGAGGTAATTTCAGTGATGTCATGTTTGCAACCACCTTCAAAATTGCATCAATCCGAATGGTCTTTAACAGGGTGCAGGGGGGGCATATCAAGCTTCCAAAAAGAGAAATGAGCTTCGAGTAGGTGGGCTGCTCAACAAATTGTATCTTCTTCACTGCTTCAAGGAATTGTGCAAAAGGAGGGGGACAGCCACCACACAGCGTCTCGGGGGAGGTTACAGTCTTGTTCATGAAGACTAGAAACCTCTTGTCATTCCCCTACATAGTTGGCATAAGAATCAGCAAGTGATCAATCAAAGAGATGGGAGAACATGTACAAGTAGAGGTGAAAGCAAACCTGATAGCCTTCCCACGGCAGCCTTCCTTTAATCAAAAAAATCAGAGTGTAGGCCAATGACTCAAGATCATCTCTTCTACTCGCTGTGAGGCCTAAATGTGCATGGACGCTTGCATATCGTGTTGTGCCCCTAGGGAACATGAGATAGATAGTAAGGTAGGGGTAAGATTTTATGAATCCTCCTCTTAGCTAAGAATTTAGGGAAAAAATAGAATATCGTTTCCCAAAAAACCTGAAATTATCTGGCTGTTGGCATAAGCTGACATGCTGGCCTGACAAACTGTCCCTCCACATTGAAGCTGATTAAAATATTAATGACACCAATTAGCATTTGTACAGGCTCTGAACAAAGCACAAAAATATCACTGATGTTGATACAGACAGGGACTTCTCAGTCAAGACGAATTTGTTTATATACTTGGAAAAACAAACCCTACTCTAAAATCAATAGGTGCGAAAGGTGAAAACAAGAAGTGATTGGAATGCAGCAACATACCCAGCCCAAAGTCGATGAGAAAAAGCTTCTTCTCCCCTGAGCTTCCGGGTTTACCCAACAATAAATTCTCTGGCTTGACGTCTCCATGCACAAACCTGGCATGTTTTTTTTTTTGTGTGGGTGGAGGGAGGGAGGGGAGTGCACAAGGGAGCAATGAATTGATTACTGTGACCTTTGCAAAAATTTAATTGAAAAAATATCACACTGCCACAAAGCCATACGTACCCTTTTTGGTGTAGCTTCTCAAGGATGGATATTGCCTCCACAGCAATACAAGCCACCATATTTGGTGGCATTCTGTCCAAGGAGTTAGTCAAACTCAATAGCACAATTCTCAACAGAATATTGACTTTGAATATGAAGTCAAGATTATTTTCTTACACTTGCCCAATGGATATGAACACATCCAGGAGACTTGGTCCAAGGATGTCCATGATCTGCAGCAATCATCATCAACAATATCATAATTAGCTTTCAATAAAAAACATAATTCGAGGAAACAATAAAATGAAAGACTCTACGCCAACCATGACGAAATAATCTCCTTGGCGGCCCTTGTAGTGCACCCTAGGCAATCCATAGCATCCCTTGAGATGGCTAAAACCATATTCACAAAGTCAGATGAAGAACGTAGTTTTAGATCGACACAATACGTAATAAATTAGAGCAGTAGGGGGTGTCTTCTTACTCATAAACTTGCCATTCATATGGGGGGCCAAATCTGCAACCCGTGCTATTTCTATGCTCAAACTTCAGTGCTACCTACACCCACCGCAGGAAAATGAAAGAGACAACATAAAACAGCAGTATTTAAAGATTCCCTTGGCAGGAGTGATGGGAGGTTGAAACTAAACCTTAAAGGCATTGGGCCCATCGCCCTGAGATCCACCAGCCACCCTTCGTCCAATGTAGACCAGCCCAAAACCTCCTGCACCCAACATTCTCTCTACCTTGTATAATGGAGAATTTCCGACCTGCACCTGTCGATTTTGGATAGGACATTCCTATTGTCAAGATGTGATGTGCTTTGGGATGGAGAGAGAAAGCTCTCTACAGTCGCCGTCAAGGAAAGGAATGAGGGACGTCGAAGCATGTACCCGATCCGGGATGGGAGACATCCTCGCTTCCTCCTGTAGCCCGACAACCTCGTCCACACTTCCTCCCTCGATTCCAGCTGCTTTCTCAACAGGACAGCCCGCCACCAAGTTCTGATGGTTTTTCTGGGTGGGGAATAACGCTCGGGAGAGCTGCAGGTACGGAGGGTGTTGTTTCCTGCCGGAAATCACCGGGTTCTTCTCCAGAAACTGGTCGATCGCTCAGCGATCCGAAAATCGAATGTGCCCCTTGATTCAACACGCTCACCCGTCACCGTCAATCGATAAACCTTGCTGAAATAATCTTTTCTCCTCCAGACGGTAACACTCATCCGTCCCCAAAGAGCAATCGGATGGAAGTCTAAAGAAGAAGATAGATCCCCCTACCCAGACCAAACATCAAATCGAATCAGCAACGAAGCGGCAAAACAAATCGGAAGAAGGTAAATAAATAAGAGGAAGGAGGAAAGCCAGAGCTTTCTTCAGCAATCTCGCACCACCCGCACCACCGCAGGCAACCGAAAGTCCAAATCAAAGAAAATAAAGATCCCATCCAAAGAGTCCACAAGAAGATGCCCCCGACACAGAAAATCACGAACCCATCGAAAGACGGCACTAGAACATAACCCCCGAATCAACGAAAGGCGAGAATTCGTCGAAAGACGGCACTAGAACATACCCGGAGCGGCCTTTCAGGGAAGCAGAAGCCTGGGAACGTACGACCTCTCCGTGAGGCGGCGCCGACCGTGACCTCGGCGTCTTCGGCGGTGGACTCCTCCGCCGGATGCGGCCTCCCACTCTTCCTCCGGATTCGCGCACGAGAAAGGGTTCCAGAAGAACTCGACGGAGAGGAGAGGAGAAGGCGGCAGGCTGTCCGAACTCCGCCGTGCTTCGTAGAGCGAGGACGCATCCACAGAAAGAAAGCGAGAGCAAGATAGAGTGAGAGAGAGCAGACAGACAAAGGGAGCGAGAAAAGGCGCGAAAGAAAGAGAGATCAATGACAGCCTTACTCTATCACCCGCTCTTCTTTCACGTTCTGCCATTAGGTACGGATCTCCAATTACATTTCTCTTTGAGGTCTGACGTAAATTGTGCCAATTTCTGTTCACGATGTCCGTTGAAATGTCGTCGAACCCGTGTGGGCCACGTGTCCCACATCTGCTTAAGTGTCATGCCAACTCGTCGGTTCTGCTTCCACTGTCGACCTGTTGATGGTTTAACTTTTAGCCTCTGAATATTCCGGCCCATTGGGTCACTTGGCTCGGCCCAGCCCAACTCATTCTGATTTTCTTTTATTTTAGACCTTTATATCAAAACCTCTTAGAAATTATGAGAAATTCTAGAAAATTTCAAAAAATCCAGGATAAAATTTAGAAAATCCTAAAACTCACATAAAAAATATTTCATGCATAATTATTTAAAATTAATTATCTTAAAATAATTTTTAAAGTATTAAAATACATGTTTATGTATGAATGATCTGAATGCATACGAATTAAATGTAACATGTATTATTTTCATTAATTTTATGCACTAAATACTGATAAATATAAGGTAAATACAGATAATGAAGACTTATCAACCACAACATAATAACTAGACTAAGATGATCTAGTTCAATCGTTTTCATCCACAATATACTATCATTAGCCATTTATTGTCGCACCACATACCCATGAATACAACCTAAAACTCCTTCATACTTCAAAGAATAATGATCATGGTAAAGAATTCACCTATCTTTTTTTCATGAGATCCACACCCCTAATCTAGAGAAGGTAAACTTTTCTAATTGACTTACCCTTTTAAAGGAGCATTAGGCTTTGTTCGTTTAAGCATACGTGTTTGTGCAAATAATCAATGCAGCAAAAGTTTTAAAATATTCAGAACATTTTTGAATTTTTTTGTTCTCCCCCCTACTTGAATGATGCATTATCTCTAATGCATGCAAATGAAGGAAGAGATAACCTCCCCCACTTAAGTCTTGCATTGTCCTTAATGCATGTGAGAGGAGGGAAAAGCAAAGAAAATTCTGATTTTTATGCCCCATCTACTACATTGTTGCCCCTGAATAGTTCTAACTAAAGCACTCGACCAATAAAATATGTCTGAAACAAAAGCTAGTAAGGAAATGCATAAAAAGAAATGATAGTTCTGCTCACAATAAAATATGTGCATACACACAAATAGATAAAGTCCTCAAATATCTGCTAGGGACCAGCCAATCACCTCTCTTTATGTCCTAAGTACATCAAGTAATCTATTCTCTTGATCCTTAGACAAATACGATGATATAATCATTGGATAAGTTTGATGTTAATCAAAAAATACATACTTTAGTGAAGATGGTTGATAAGTCTTCATTATCATGAGTTAATAATTAATTAATTATATAGTTTTAATCCTAACTCATGATATTTAGACTTATATTTACGTCAAATTATGAAAAATAGTTTTTAGTTAGTTAATTTTGCTAATTATGGGATTTTATGTGAATTTATATAATTTTTATAATCTTATTTTTGAGTTAAATAAAGAGAAATAAAATAAAAAGATAGAAGAAAGAGAAAACATGCCACCTAGTCGAGCCCATAAATAGGTTGGAAGTATTGATAGGCGGAATCATGAGTAAGGGCTTGAGCGGCTAAAGATAAACTGATAGGGGGACACATGTGCGTCACTCCCCTTCCACATCACCAATGACCAATTAGGCATGCAACAAAGAGTGGCCATACACATGTTAGAAAGGGATACATTGATTATTGATGTGACTTAGTCGTTGTATTGTAAATCATGCAAATTTAAAATTTATAAAACTAGAAAATATGAATTTTCAGATATTTAGAAATATTTCTGAATAAATATATCAATTATAATTCAATAAAAATTTCAAAAATAATGGTAATTTTCTAGGTCAATCAGAGGGATGTAATATAGTATCTGGCAATTATCCAAAATTGTCCTCAAAGAATACTATTTTCTATGAATTTTATACTAGTAAATGAAAATGAAATATATTTAAAATTTACAAAAAAAAGAAATACGGGTGTAGACATCAGGATGATGCTAGCACTTGGCGAATGCAAATCGGGTGAAAATAGAGTTCCACCTAGTGATTCTTACAAAAGTCAGAAGAATCGTAATGAAATGAAGTATATCTTTGTAAATTTAAAATCAACAAATTATCACTAAATGGAACGAAAATTAAGTTGAAAGTAGGAAAATAAAATTCCGACGTCAAGGCGGTGATGCGTCGGCGATGCACCAGAATCTTGAGCATTTGGGAGGATTGTCGTGCAATGTCCATGGCCTTGAAGGCTCTCCTTGGACAAAGACAATGTGAGCAATCTCTAGATCTCCTTGCAAAGTCTAAAGATCAATGAATGGGTTGTTGAATCCTCTCTGGCGGCTGTCACCCCTAGTAGAACGGAAAAATGACAACTTTGCGGCTCTCTAGTGGCTGTCACCCGACAAAGAAGAGCTAGATGCAGGTGAGGTGTGTGTCAAGAAGCTTCAACCTCAGATCTGTGCAGCAAGAAGAGGCTCTTCATTGCATCTAGTATGCTCTCAAGAGGTGGTGACTCGTCTCCCAACAGATTGTCCTCTTCCCAATGACAGCTTGTTCGTCGATCAATTAGAGATGAGTTACTCGATGGATTTGCGATGCTTTTATCGCGAATCGTTTAGCAATTTTAGTAACAATGCTCCACGAATCGTGTTGACAAGATTTTCATCAATGATTCAGTGATTCTAGTTGCTTAATTCTTCACCAACGATCTGTAGGAAAGTCACGATAATCAAATAAATAAAATATAAATTTTGGCTTTGGGAGGATTTGAACCTGCACCGGTTGCATCCTCGCCCTTTCTGGGGAGGTGTGACGTGGGTTAAAAAGTCCCACATCAATTGTGTGCTGAAATTTCTAGTGAATATATAGTAATACTACATTTCTGATCAAGTCCCTTTCTCGCATGTGTACGACCACTCCTTGTCCCACAGTCGATTGGCCACCAGTGACATGGAAGGGGGGTGGCGCACATGTGTCCAATTGGTCCAAGCCACTCGAGCCCCTACTCACAGCTACTCCCCGATTGCACTTCCGATCTACTTGTAGGCCCAATTGGCCAGTGGGTCCCCCCATTTTGTCTTATTTTTATTTTAATTTCTTTTTCTTCATTTATCTCAAAAGTAAAACTATAAAAATCATGTAAAATCGTATAAAGCCACATAATTACCCAAAAATTCACGTTAATCAATTGAAAACAACTTTTCACACTTTAACATAAATATAAGTCTATTTATCATGAATTAAGGCTAAAACTATATTATTTACTAATTATTAACTCATGATAATTAAGACTTACCACACCCCCCAACTTAAATCATTGCTAGTCCCTTAGCAATGGAATTACGAAAATAAAAATTTACAAATCTCAAACATCATATTTCAATACATAAAAAGAAAAAAAATACAATCAGAAATGATGCACCTTTAGACACTTTAGATTCTTATATCAAGTATTTAAGAATGATGTCAAGCACTTAAATGTTTAAGCATTTCTTCGAATAACAATCTAGACTTCACTTCTTCTATTCACATCTTTATCACTTCTTCACTCATAGATATATTTACAAGATGTTCTAATTATTAATACTCATCCAAGAATATATATTGATCTTATATTTCCTTTTTTTCATGGCTTGATTTTTGAAGTTTGTACTATATTTCTTCCTTCTCTTTTTTTTTATATATATAGTGGATAAGTAGCTTTTTTCGTAGAAAAATTTTGACAATAAGAATGATGTCTCACACCCTCTATGTGTACACTTCATTTTCAGGGCTTTCACTTTATCCACTTATTTTACAGTAAGTGTTTTTCTATACATGATTTTCAATAATGAGAATAATGTCTCACACCCTCTATGTGTACTCTTCGTTTCTAGATTTTTCACATTGCTCTTTCTTTTTTATTTTTTTTCGAAATAAGTAATTTTTCCTCACAGGTCCTATAGATTGGGGTACAAAAATCTCCATTAAACTCAAATGATCAATCAAATTTTCACATTAAGTAAGTACTATCCATCAAGATCATGAAGTAAAAAATCTGTAAAATCAAATCCATGTTATATATTATGTGTTGAAGGAGTATGATGGCAAGCAAGACCCATCTCCATTAGCTTAGGAGACATCGGTAGTCTGAGTTCAGCCTGATCGACGCACAAAGATGAAGGAGCTTGGCTTTCGCTATGCAGCCTAGCCCTTTGGGACGACAACATTCCACCTCTGCGACGATGACGAGCTCAAGCTCACCCGTATCTTTCTTTGTATTTTCACGTTGACTTGTTGGGCCTCACATTTGTGTGTTAGCGGGCCCATTTCTATGTGTGTGTGTTGTTGTTTTTCTCCCTTTCTTTAGGATTTTATTGGGTCTCTCTTTGAGGCCCAATTAAAACCCTAAGGGGGGGAACCTATGTGTCTTTCCTTTTGGGCCTCTTTTGGGGCTTATTTGGGTCTTCATTTGAGGCCCACTTAAGCACCATAAGAGGGCCTCCCTCTTTCTCCTTTTAGGGGAGCTTATTGGATCTCTCTTTAAGAGGCCCAATAAGCCCCTTTTGTAGCCTTTGTGGCTTATGGGCTTGAGGGTCTTAAGTGGACCCACCTCCCCTTAGCCCACTTGTGGGCCCCCATATAAGGGGAGGTAGGACCCCCCCTCAAAAGAGCACTATATTTTTGAGAGAGATTATCATTTTGTGAGTACCTTCTCTGTGATCTAGGATAGGGAGGAAAGGAGGAAGAGGAAGGCCATCGATACCCCTTTGAGGACTTCGTTCCTTGTGATGCTACTGCCTGAGAAGTCCCACTACCACCTAAGACCACTGCTGCCGCCGGCCATCTCATTGCCACCAGGGAGCTCGCCACCATCACCAGACGAAATGGTCGTGGCTGCCGCTGCAGCCACCGCCACCTCTGCTGGAACCCTGTCACACTGTCGTGACGAAAGGGGCTTGCTTTGCCTCACTATGAGCCGTCGCTGAGCACTCCGTCGAAGTCTCTCGACTCTTGGTTCGACTGCAGCCTCTTCCTCTGGAACTCCACTATAAACTCGCCGGAGCCGCCCTCCGCCACTCTACCCAGTCGCTGGCCATTCGCCGACGAACGCCGATCTGCCACCGACGTCGGAAGAGACCCTGCTGCTGTGTTGACGAGCCAAATCCAGTCCAAGCTCTGCAGGCCCCCGCCAGAGTTTCCTGACGATCCGCCGTCATCGCACTGTTTTTGGCACTGTCTAGACTAGGAGGGCTCAACCCTCCTTGGTATTGCTGCCTGGATTGTCTCCTTCCTCTACTCCACTTCTCGGTGCCACCAGAGAAGGCCGACCCTTTCGGCAATGGTTGGTTTGCCACCCAACCGCCAACATTTGGCATTCTCGCCGAAGCACGGTTGACGCTCAGCCTTCCTGACGAAGTGTCGCTGATGCTTGGCCTTCCCGCTGAAGCGCCGCTGACGCTCGGCCTCCCACCGAAGCACCGCTGACACTTGACATTCCCGCTGAAGCGCCACCGCCGCATGCGCCTCGCGCGTTGGTTCCTACGACCCACACGCCCACCCCGCACCACTGCCCGCGTGCCCTAGGGCACGCTGCACGGCTTGCCGCACACACCTGCTAGCATGCCCTTCGGCCCACCAGCAGGCCCACACCCACTAACATGCCCTTTGGCCCACCAGTTGGCCCATGCCCGTTAGCGTGCCCTTCGGCCCACCTATAGGTCCACGCCCATGCCGACTGTGCCACGCCCTAAGACGATGACTTCTGTGACTCTGGACTAGGATCGACCATCGATGCTGAGCATTGCTCTTCACTAGATGTCTCTACCTTCGTTGAATCTTTGTTCCATCACGATCCACTAGGCTACACAGCCCCGAAGGTTAGCTCTGTACCCCTTCCTCTTAAGTTTAATTATCTCTCGAAGGGTTTTCTCAGCTCATCTCCACCGCTATCAGGAGAACGTAGACAAGATAGGATGGTTATTAGATTGTGACTTCTGACACTGTGCTACATTTGTCACCGATCGTGAGCTGCAGCCCTAGGCTACTGACGTGACTTAGTCGTTGTATATTAAATCACGCAAATTTAAAATTTATAAAACTAGAAAATACGAATTTTCGGATATTTAGAAGTATTTCAAAATAAATATATCAATTATAATTCAATACAAATCCCAAAAATAGTGGTAATTTTCCAGGTCGATCACTATAATATCTGGTAATTATTCAGAATTTTTCTCAATGAGTACGATTTTCTTACGAATTTTATACTAGGAAATAAAAAGGAAATATATTTAAAATTCACAAAAAAAAGAGGAAATAAGGGTGCGGACGTCAGGATGACGTCAGCGCCCGGCGAACGCGAATCAGGCGGAAACAGAGTTCCGCCCGGCGATTCTTACGTAGGCGATTACAGACGACTCAATTAATCAAATTAAGATCTGTAAAAGCCGGAAGAATCGTAGTTGAACGAAGTATAGTTTGGTAAATAAAAATCAACAAAGTATCACTAAATGAAGCGTAAATTAAATTGAAAGCAGGAAAACAGAGTTCCGGCGTCGCGACGGCGATGCGTCGGCGATGCACCGGAATCCTGAGCGTTCGGGAGGGTCGTCGTGCAGTGTCCACGGCCTCGAAGGCTCTCCTTGGACAAAGACGACGTGGGCAATCTCTAGATCTTCTCGCGAAGTCTAGAGACCAATGAAGTGGGTCGTCGAATCGTCTCCGGCGGCTGTCACCCGGCGGAGCGGAAAAACGGCGACTTTGCGGCTCTCCGGCGGCTGTCACCCGACGGAGAGGGGCTGGATGGAGGTGAGGCGCGTGTTAGGGAGCTTCATCCTCAGGTCCGCGCAGCAAGAGGAGGCTCTTCATCGCATCTGGTACGCTCTCAGGAGGTGGCGACTGGTCTCCCGGCGGATCGTCCTCTTCCCGACGACGGCTTGTTCGTCGATCAATCGGAGATGATTTACTCGATGGATTGCGATCCTTTTATCGCGAATCGTTCAGAAATTTTAGTAGCAATGCTCCGCGAATCGCGTTGACGAGATTTTCGCCGATGATCCAGCGATTCCGGTTGCTTAATCCTTCACCGGCGATCTGCAGGAAAGTCGCGATAATCAGTTAAAAATATATGAATTTTGACTCTGGGAGGATTCGAACCCGCGGCGGTCGCCCGGCCTTGAACAAGGTGTGACGCGGGTTTAGTCCCACATCGGTTGTGCGCGGATTATTCGGGCGAATATATAGTAAAGTTAGCTTTTTAGGCAAAATCCTCTCCCGTGTACGACCACTCCTTGCCCCACAGCCGGCTGACCACCGGTGACGTGGAAGGGGAATGGCGCACACGTGCCCCTATCGATCCAAGCAAGCTGCTCGAGCCCCTGCTCGCGGCTACTCCCCGACTGCGCTTCTGACCCGCTTGCGGGCCCGGCTGGCCGGCAGGTCCCCCCATTTTGCAATATTTTTATTTTTATTTCTTGTTCTTCATTTATCTCAAAACTAAGACTGTAAAAATCGTATAAAATCACATAATTACCCAAAAATTCACGTTAATCAACTGAAAACCACTTTTCATGCTTTAACACAAATATAAGTCTATTTATCATGAGTTAAGGCTAAAACTATATTATTTACTAATTATTAACTCATGATAATGAAGACTTATCAGCTACCTCACGACGATTGTTTTGTCGTCTGTCCAGACGTGCACCGAGAGGGCCTCAATTACCATCGTCGAGTGTTTCTCCGAGTTGTCCTGGGTTGATATTACATATTGGTACGCCTACCTATACTTAGGTTACGTGGTTAGACCTAGAGTCTAGGGTCCAGACATTCTTATCGGATTGATCCGACTACCCTATCTTGGGTCTCAAGTTTTATTGATAAGATACAAGGGTTCTTGCCCCATCCTACATCAGATTATTCCAACATTTCATGCTACTAGATTATTCTTTTAACTCAATAATAATCTTCTTAGTATCTTTTGGTATCAATCAATTTAATTGATTTAATTTTTCATGTATGTAATATGATGTAAGAAATTTGTAAATTAGATAGTTCTAATAGTTCTATTTTCTATTTTTAGTTCTAGTTTTAGTAATAATAAATTTGTCAAAAATAAATCAAAACTATCCTCTTTATAGTTGTAATTTCGAATTTTAGTAATATATGTTTAGGGGATTGAAATGTGAGAAAAAAGTCTCTAGAATTTCAAATTTCGGGATGTTTTTTGTTTGCTATTTTTGACAGGGTCTTGTCCCTGATAGAAAACCAGAAAATAGATATTGTAGTTTACCAAATTTTATTTTATTTGTATTTTTTCAGTTGCTATTCTAATACAAACACATGTTCTTAATCATCCTATAGCATAAATTAATAATGAATACTTCATCCCCCAACTTAAAAATGACATTGTCCTCAATGACACAGAAAGTTCAAAATAGAATATGTAGAAAATATAATTTTCAAGTGAAGCATGCATATGTACAAAGTTAAGCATTAAAAATATTTTCATAAATGATAAAGCTCAAAAAGACATCACCTCAACCTCATTTTTAATTTTCCACTTCATCTTACACTCCTCTTGCACTTTTTTTAAAAAATAAATACATAAACAAATACTACAAAATTCTAAGAAAAATAGAGCTTAGAAAAAAAATCAAGCAAAATGAAATAAAAACCATGGGTTGCGTCTCATGCAACACTGAATTTAATGTCTTTAGCTGGACAACTCTTAGATCATATAAGATGATCTATGGCCATCAAAATATATTTGTATCCCAAGGTAAGTTTCATGATATTCTTTTTCAGATTTAGCATAAATTCATATACTTTATATATACCTTGACATACTTTTAGTCAAAACAAAATAGAAATTAACAAAAAATTATCAAAAATAATATTTTTATTTTAAAAAAAATCTTTCCTCATTTCTATCTTGTTTTGTAAGACTCTCATTCATTAATAAATACTTTCTATTAATAGATCATAAAATATGATTAGGCCATATAATTTTCAAATTAGCTCTTACACAATCTAAATTTTTTTCATCTAAATTGATATATCTAATTCTTCCACTCATCAATTTCTTAATGTGTTCTTTTATCTGCATAATCTTCCCCTACTCCATTTTATCTTTCATACATATTTATTCAATTTGCGAGGAGTGAAATATTTCAAGCTTAGAAATAATTCTAATAGGCTATGGGTTTTGAAGGATTGAAGGATTGAAGGATTGTCTTCTTTAATCTCAGATCTAATAAATTCAGTAAAATTCAAATTTGCTCCTCCAAAATTATCTCTATATTCATATTCATTATTTTCGTTTCTCCTCATTAGTTGAATCAACTCTTTTTCTAACTTTTCGTTTCTCAACTCATCAAATTCTTCATCTTCCCAAGAGTTATTTTTTAATTTTAGTATATGATATACATCATCATCTTCACTATCAACATCCATGGTTGTAAAATTATGATTAGATTTATTAATTTCATCTCCTACATCTCCCAAATCAATTGATTTTTCCTTACCTAAAATATATTTTTCTTCATTTCTGTCCTTAGTCCCTTCTACTTAAATTTGGATGATTTTTCCATAATCAGTTGCTCCAAAATTTGCTCTTTCTTCATCTAGGTCTCTTTTTACTCATCATCTTCACTATATTTATTCATCAATTGTGAGCAATAAATGATTTTATTCAATTTTTCTACTACTATATTTTCGACCTTACTCCCTTCTACTTAAATTCAAATTTGCTCCTCCAAAATTACTCTTTCTTCATCTAGGTCTCTTTTTTCTCATCATCTTCACTATATTTATTCATCAATTGTGAGCAATAAATGATTTTATTCAATTTTTCTACTACTATATTTTCGATCTTAATATTCTCATTTACTTCTAATGGATCATCAATTTCTTCTAATAATTAGAAATAAGGATCAATATATTTACTGTCATAACATTTTCATTTTGTGGGTTTTTTTTAGATTCATGCTACTAGACTCCCCTTGCTGCAATCCTATTGTTGGACGGTTCCCTAGATTTTCTATAGGCTGATTAGGTAATTGTCTCTCTTCTCTCTTATTCCAAGAGCCTCTATAATTTATTTCTGATGCAACATCATTTGGTTCATAGTTTGTTGCATCATTTGGCTCATTTGCTACATCATTTCCATAGCATCAGGTTGGATTTGAGAGGACCGATTTTTCTGAAATCTATGTTCTTGTTTTGAACGAAATTTAAAATTTGAATTAGATCTAAGTGCTTTTAGATTTTGAATATTATTTGGGTTTTTCCACGAAAAATTATTCCTCCAATTAGGATTATAAGAATTAGAAAAATATTTCTTATTTTTACTAAAATCGTGGGATACCTGCACTTGTTCTTGCCTATGATGATATTGAAATTTTAAATGATCATTTTTACCATACATAGGACATGTACTACTTGAATTAAATTGAGGGTTAAGAGGCTTTCTAATATTGTCAATAAGTAAATCAATTTTTTCTAATCTTTCATTAATCTGATTAACCTCATTTGTAAATTTAGAATCATCATCATGATGCAATTCATAAATTCTTCTCTTCTTATCCCTATCATATGATTCAAAAGAAACTTAATCTCTAAAATTTTCACTTAAATTCTCATAAAGACTATAAATCTCATCAGAAGTTTTCTCCATAAAAGTTCCTCCACATATAGAATCAATCATATTTCTATGTTGTTCTAATAATCTATTATAAAAAGTTCTATTGAGTTGCCACTTAGGTATAGCATGATGAGGACACTTATTAAGTAAATGTTTGAATGTTTCCCATGTCTCATGTAAAGTTTCTTCTGATCTTTGAGGAAAACTTCATATATGTTTTCTCAAGTTTTGAGTTTTTCTTAAGGAATAAAATTTTCGAAGAAAAGCCTATTCTATGTCTTTCTCTATCTAATGTGAATAGCTAATGGCTAGCTTTGTCTCTAAGTATATGAAGAAATAATTTCATCTTAATAATTTTTGGTGTAACTTGAGGGAGATTAACTAAATCACAGACCATATGAAATTTTTCCAAGTGCTAATGAGATTCCTCTAAAGGCAATCCATGAAAATTAGGGAGCATTTGAAAAATTCCTAGATTTATTTTGAATTTAAAAGTGGGTGCTAATGGGACTTTAATATTGGATGCTCTTTGAAATGAATCAGAGATATAATAATTTTTCACGGCCATAAGGTTGTTCTCAGTTTGACCTCTACTTCCTTCAAGATCCATCAAAATTAATTTTTCTTTCTGATTTTTAGTTTTGAATGAAATAATGAAAGGATTTTCTAGCCTTGGATGCAAGGATCTTCTACCATGCATAAAAAAATCAAGAAATTAGACATAAAAGTTTAGTAATTATTACCCTCCTTTAGTATGCTCCAGTCCTTGCCTTGCTTCTCTTTGTTCCCTTTAAAAAAAAAAATGGCAAAAAGAAAATAAAATAAGAGTTGAATTTTTTGTGTACTCTAAGAGAAAAATAGAGAAATACTAAATATTATGCAATACATCCATTGCTCTTAGCAATGGTGCCAAAATTTGACGTGACTTAGTCATCTTACTGTAAATCACATAAATTTAAAATTTATAAAACTAGAAAATACGAATTTTCAGATATTTAGAAGTATTTTTGAATAAATATATCAAGTATAATTTAATAAAACTTCCTAAAATAATATAATTTTCTAGGTCGATCAAATGAATGTAATAGAGTATCTAGTACTTATTCAAAATTGCCCTCAAAGAATACTATTTTCTATAAATTTTATACTAGTATATGAAAAGGAAATATATTTAAAATTACGAAAAAAAGAAATAGGGGTATAGATGTCAAGATGATACCAGCGCTTGACAAATGCAAATTGAGCGAAAATAGAGCTCCGCTCAGTGATTCTTATATAAGTGATTACAGATGATTTAATTGATCAAGTTAAGATCTAG